TGTTGAATGGCTATAATTAATAGGGAAAATTGAGGGAAAATGCACCAGCAGGACAAATTAAAAATATTGTAAATATATTTAGTCATTGTAGTAGTAATAACTGCCTGTTTTTGCTAAAAGAGTTTCATGGCCGGTAAAAAAAAATGTTGGCCAGTAAGTTTTATCATTTCACCGGCCATTGGCAGGTGTGGAAAAAGTTAGTTTTAGGCCCTGTATGTATATATAGCCTACATATATAAAATATACAATTATTTATGTATATATTATAAAATCTATAAATATAAATATATAATTGTGTATATATATATATATATATATATATATATATAATTATATATGTCATTTTTTATTTATGTATGGATTGAAAAAAAATACAAATATAATTGCATGAACACATGAATTTCATTTTAAAAGTACAGCTTTGGTTCTCAAGAAAGTTTACTGTATGGTCCGTTACTCTGTTTATATGTTAATTGTCTAATGAGGCATTTCTTGGTATTAATGTTTAAAAACATTATCTTTCTTTGATATGTCTTCTAAAGCTCAGCCCTTTTTTCTGAAGGCCTCATACCCATACTTCATAATATCCCCATCAAAGTGTGTATCGAGTCAACCTGAAAGTCTCATTATGACTGAATATGCTACTTTTTGGCCTCCCTTTCTCTTTCGATTTCACTTTGTTTTATAGGTCAGGCCAAAACTGGCCTTTCAGCACTGACATAACGTTTTCTTCTCCTAGTTAAATGTTAACCTTACACAAGACACACAAATGCTCACGTATCTGTATTGAACGTCAACCACTTGCTGGACTTCTCGGGAGCTTTAACAGAACAACAGAACAGGGTGTGGTGTGTACTAAGAGATTACTGTCTCTGTGTGGATGACTGAGTGCTTAAGTGTGTGAGTGTGTGCATTATGCAATTTTCCAATGCATGTCATAATTGCATGCGTGCGTGACGGTCCAGCTGAGCCTTGATGCATAAACTGATCATCTCCATAGTGTGTGCAGTTACACACACACACAGAGACATTTGCATTTGTTGAAACCACACATTTATTCAAACATGGCTCAAAGGAGGCCACCCACAGTGATACAAACACATTAAAACTGAATTTGCAATGCAGAAACCTATGTCTGCTACACTCTGTGGCAGTGCATTTTAATTCCTCATTTAGACTAATTTACTCTCAACCCTTTCTGTTTGGTTGCAGTGATGGCAACAGGCATTATGAGCTCATCACATGGCTTGGTCATTGGTCTGGAGACCCCTGCAGCTGGACCAATCACAGGTTGATTTGATGGAAGGCGGGCTCAAGACCGCAGCTGACGTCATAAGCAGTCCGAACGAGCTCCGCGATTGGCTGGATTCGTGAAGGTATAGAATGTGTAAAATGAAACAGGAGTTGCTGAAGTCCTTGTGTCTGGTTTACTTTTGCGCGTTTCTTTTTTGAATACTAAAATACCTGACACGTACTCAGACTTGGAAATGAGTTTTCTTCCTGTTTATTATGGAAATCAATGTCATATTCCCTGTTGGAAAAACGCACGGCTACCAGTTTTAGTGGGATTTACCGACAGGGCTGATATTAACGTAAATAATAAACAGGAAGGAAACTCATTTCCAAGTCTAAGTATGCTTGTGCTATTTTAGCTTTCGATGTAAATACATATAAAGATTTTTTTTTAAAAAAGAAGCAGAAAACAACTCTGTTTTATTCATTAGTCCTCACAAGCGATTTTTTTCCTTCTAAATCTTCAAGACATTTTTTTTTTAAAGATATATACTTTCATCTAACCAGCAACTAGGCTTCTTTTGTTGGATTGGTATGCAGTCTTAAAATTCATCAATGTACTGTTTATTTATTTATTTTGTTAACATTACTGCCATGCTATTTTTGTTTTATTAATTTATATTTTCTCTTTTATTTCACATTTGCAATAATGCTTCGGTCAAGCTGGCTTACTAAAATATTGTGAAATCGCAAATTATTAATATTCTCGATTTTGCCCACCTACTCCCTTCGGCTGCCCCTCCCTTTGAATCCCATTGGCTGATGCAGTTTCAGGATCGACCAGCTGTTTCTTGTTTTCCCTTAGCGCAATTGGCCCGAGCGACCTGTCAATCAACTGGACTTTGACAGATGACTCCGCCCTCATCACCGCTACCCGAGCGCTGACAGGCTACTGTACCCTTTTGTGAACGCTGATTGGCCGAGGGCGCTGGTTGTCAAGGCTTAGTGCTTCATTCACCATTTTGCGACTGTAGAGTACCCTGGAACCTCAACGGCTGGACTTTTTCTCATTTGCGGAAGAAAAACACTCTTTGCAAAAGCTTTCTCGGGGATTCCGTGGTTTTATAGGCTTGGCTTTCGCATCGACACCATTTCGACGGCACTGTAAATATTCACGGGGTGAGTTGAAACCTTTTTCATCTGCAGTACTGCAGTGATCTGCCTATATATTTAACGCTGTGTTTTGCCTTTACGTCGCGGATCCATCTATAACGTTTCGCTGTCAGTTGTTTCTTTTTTCTTACTGGATTGTGTAAAATGGCGGAGTAAGCATTTTATCATACACACACATTGAAAGGGAGGGGTGGAGGTGCACAGTCAGTCTAAAAACTTTTTTTCCTGAAAATATTTGTGTGACACAACAGCTACAGCTTCAACAAACTGCTTTTGTGTATTCGTTTACCTTCAGAGACTGTCACTGCTTATATCCATAGCTTTTTACATAAAGATAAGGCGATTGTTTTGTTAGTTAAACTTGACTATATTATGATAATATATTTTCAGTTGCATTCAGTAAATTTCATTCGGATGTTTTAATATTTATAGCCTAAAGGCGCATGTATTTGAGAAGGATAGTTTGTTTTTTCCCCCTCATATTTACTATTATGTGCAACGTCGCCTTCGATTCAGAAGCCTTAGGGAGACGGGGAAACTGCTCTGCGGCCTTGTGTTATGGAGGAGGCCTACACCACTCGACTGTGTCGTAGGTGGTTGTAAGCGTAGAGTAGGGCACTACGACCAATAAAAGCGCTTGACACAGATACGGCGGTGTACTACTCAGCAAAACTTTCGCAAGTCGACGACAGCAGCACCATTGTTGATGGCAAACAGGGCTTTTACTTTGTTTCAGGGCATTTGTGTTTATTTAGGGACTTGCTGTTGCATGGGGACATTTATTATTGTGCATTTGGCGAGTCATTATGAGATTGAGTTGTTATAATTATTTGAAGGGTCAGTGAGTGCAGTGGGCAGCCCGATTAAGTTAAATGGCTATTTAGTGCATTGCAAATAAGCTTTTTTTTTTTTTGCCAGTTCAAAAAGTTTTACACAGAAATATACACATATTTTTTTATTTCATATATTTTGCAGACGTTTCATCCAAATTGACTTATATCGCATTAGTATACATTTTACCAGTTCATTAATTTTTCTGGGAATCAAACCCATAACCTCGATGTTGCTCGTGTCATGCTCTACGGGTTGAGTTTCAAAATCATTAAAGATATACATTTTCTATAGGAAGCGGGTCGCCACCTTATGGGAGTTGCCATGTTGACATCACGTGACAGTGTGTCATACAGAGTTGACCGTTACTACTACTTATAATGACATTATAAAACATTTAAAAATTCTATTAAATTGATACAGTGTTTATAAAATATTGAATATGTTTATTTTATAAACATATAAACTGTTTATTTTATATATGGCACTTTAGAAAGCACATAGCGATGGTGTGTATGAGCATGGAATCCGCAAGTCCATACAGAATAAGGATGCACTGAGTAAAAAAAGTGATGTCAGTATAAAATCCAAACCAGTGGTACTATTGGGATAAAAACCCCTTTAAGTAGAATAGAACCTTTCATTATTTACACTTTGTGTTATCTTATATGCATTGGAATAGTTTAGTGACCCAAAAATTTTACTCACCTACACGACAAAGCAATAAAAGTCTTAGCAGGTCTTAGTAAACTGTTTTATGATAGAATTTTCTTACTGGAGGTAATATACTGCATATCTTAGATTTGCATATTGCCTGCAAACTTGTCTTACAGTGCAAATGGCAGTGTGGTTACTGTGGTTTCTGCTCACAAGAATGGGACAGTTTTGCATTGCGGACCTAAAATGATCTGTTACGTCTTTGTCAATTCTAGCATGCATTGGCTTATCAAAAGAGGTCATTCATGTTCTGAACTTTAACCATAATAAGATAGCACACGTACATCTGCAAGATGTCTGTTAAAGATCGCTTTATCTGGAAAGCATCTGCTGTGTACAAACATCTGATAGACGTCTTTAAGATGTCAGTTTTACATACATTCTAAATCATAAACATCTTAAAGACATTTTCTAAAAGTCTATTTGATGTCTGATATGAAACGTCCTACAGATGTATTGCAGATGAGCAAACACTCTAAAAAACACATCTTGCAGATATAAATGCAGACGTCAAATAGACATCTCCATGTTGTATGTGTGCTATCAGGGTAGATGCACATCCGTAATTAAATGAAAACCAGTCAGTCATATTTTATATTCATAAAACCTGCATGCAGTTTTTGAGATATTCAAAGCTTAAATTAATTGTCATTTGACTACACTGAATTATTTGTAATATGTAGGGTTAGGGCTGCACGATTAATCGAATGCGATTGTCATGCGCATTTTGTTAGTAATGCCGGTTCTGAAATCAGCAGTAAATCATCATCACGTGCTTTCAGATGGAGCAGCATTAACTACTCAGAGCCGTAGTTCACTGACAAGTTACGCAAAAAAATCGCGATAATGACAGCTGTTTGCATAGCTTCTCAGTGAACTACGGCTCTGTGAAGTAAATGCTGCTCCATCTGAAAGCA